TATGTGTCTGTCCTCTTATTGATCGTAGCTGTCAGCCGATCAGATTGCGATGATACGCTCAGCAAAATATTGAGCTTAAATACGTATAGCTGTCCTTATGGCGAAAGGCCAAAAACCTTTTTTCTGCCCTGTCACTAAGTGCTATGTACCACGCCACTTTTTCTATCCCCATCAGGCATTGTGGAAGATGGTCCGTTCCTTACCTGCCATCATCAGTGACATCAAGGCAGACCAGGTTCTTGTGGATGTACACAAGTTCTTAGTGATGCATCCTCCTCAGGTGTGGAAATCACGTGCTGATGATACTCCCCTCAGGACCATACGAACCATACTACATTCATTAGCCAAGCTCAAAGGCATTGATGTAAGTACTCGAGTATTCTATATTACTGACTAATCATCAGTCATCGCCATCATCACCATCACCACCATCATCAACCATGTCACCATCAGCCATCGTCTTTATCATCGTCACCACTATCATCATCGTCATGATCATCATGATCATCATCACCACCATCATCATCACCATCATTACCATCATCAGCCATCGTCTTGATAATCATCATCACTATCATCATCACCGCTATCATCAGTCATCGCCATCATCACCTTCATGATCATCGACCATGTCACCATCATTCATTGTCTTTATCATCATCACCATTACCATCATTACTATCATCATCATCACCGTCAATCACCACCATCACTCATCGTCTTCATCATCATCATCACCATTATCATAATCATCATCAGTCATCATCACCATCAGTTTTCTTCTTCATTATCATCACCATTATCATCATCAGCTTCATAGTGATATTCACTCCTTAATAATTAATGTTCTTGTAGATTTTGGCATGTACGAACCTTATAGAGGACGCCGAACAAAGTGAAGTGACAGCGTACCTACATAAAGTTCTCAAGACTGGTTATAAACCATCTACGAGCTCCCAAGTCAATGGTAGCTCTGAAGATGACAAGAATAAGAAATCCAACGCTCCAGATCTACTACAAGGGGTGGAGGTAAACTGATTTTTTCTTTCTTTATTCCTTGCTTCCTTCCTTGCTTCCTTGCTTGCTTCCTTTCTTCCTTCCTTTCTTCCTTTCTTCCTTTCTTCTCCTTCCTTCCTTCCTTCCTTCTTCTCCTCTCCTT